AAATATATTTCGATATTATCATGATTATATGCACATAAAATAACTCAATGCAAGTGAAAGCGCTATTTCAAAATAAGTATTGAACTTCAAGTTAGTGCCGACGTGGTACTTGTCATGACTTGTGGCTTTATAATTCACTAAATTGACAGCTAGACCTGCGTTAGTCATCGGTTATTCACAAGATCGTATGGGTTAAAAGTCCGTTGAATCCAATGCGATCGAACTACATTCATTTGCTCTATCGTTCCACATCGCATTGTATAACACTTAACACGACATATGCAGGTAACTCAGGTAATGCGTCACTTCTCTCAGAGCTCTCATTTGTGTTTATTCTTCTCAGTTAACGTTCTGTAACTGAAACTGCATCAAAACTTGACATACTACAGTTGACTTGCGCCACTTAAAAGAACAAAATGTCTGTCAGTTTTGTGAAAAGTCCTAAAATGACTTACGCCATGGGTCTTTCTATCACTTTCGTTATACCGGATCACGTGTTAAGATCCAACCAGTCACATAAGTATTGAACTATTTTGTCACCAGCCGAATTCACCAGCCGCAAAACTATATCAAAACAAATCGATTGCAAAATGACGATTCAAAATAGAGCCTGTTTAGTGTGCGACTTCGCTTTCTAAGCAGAACGTAGAGTAATTTATACAAACTGTAATTCGTTACTAAGCTTACCCAACTTCCTAGTTCAGTCATCCGAGAGCAGAGCTCATCAGCCGCGGTCGAACACAAGTCCATCACTGGTTCTTGTAGTTCTTCGTTCTTGTAAGCGACGGCTATGATTTCTCCGGCGATAACAACGAGCATAGTAAATTCATTCCAGGAAAAAGTTAGTTCACCACAGTCAATCTCATCTTCAAAATCCACTAACGCTTTCCTCATGTCTTTACAACATTCTACTGTTAAGCTTATCGATGTGATGTCAACTTTGTCTCTTGCGACCTCCATAAGTCTTACTAAATGTCCAACTATTCTTTTCACAGATACAGAACAGCAATGTAAATCCAAGTTTAGAATCTTCCTCGCATAGAAATCCAGAAGAAGTGTCAAATCCCGCTTGATTTCATACTCGGTCAACTCTTTAACAATATCGAATCTATTAATTTTACGCATAGCTTCTTTCACAAAATTTACATCTTCCCACGAAATCTTTCGCTGGTACTCCAAAGAACGTAATATATCAATTGTATCAGTAACCTGTTTCGAAATAAGTCCACTGCAGTAATGTAGAAGCTTCTTTTGATGTTCCTCATCTAATTTAAATGAAATTTTAAGTAAAACACTGTTGTAATCTTGTAGAAGTTTGTCAGTCATCGTTCGTGTTAAGGGTGTCATGGCGGCTGAATAAGTACTGAACAGTTAGACGAGTCGGCATGCCAACATTTTATACCCCAGAATGTTTAACAACACCAAAATAGAAAAATGCAATGACGTGTTTAATGGACCGTCCCAGGCGACCGGTCAAGCAAAAGTGAGAGTTGTTGTGTGATAACAAGTGCCCGGATGTTTTGCAAAGTATTTTATCCATACGCGGTGTTTCCGGCAATCTGTAAATCTGTTATGGCGTAAAAGACCGGCAATTTCTACACTGAAAACGTCTCGCCCATCGGTTAAGTATCGGCGCTATCGGCGTATCATCACTGACCCACCGGTTTTCAAAACGTTTTTATCCCCGTTCAGCATGGTTTACACATTAGTTTAAAGGTCTAGTTTTGTGCCCGAATTTAAATGCATAATGATGATAATGCTTAGTGATAAGAAGTTGTCTGCTCCTAATATGTAATTACTTAAGGAGTTTCTGTTGAGCGTTAATCACTTCATAGCAAATGTTGGACTAAGCGAGACCGTATATTGCTTATTTCTACTAGAAACATTCCAGGAGATGATGTCAGAGGCACTTGTGTCAATTTGCTTGCAGTTGTGTGATTATTGTGGAGTTTTTGTTAGCCAGACAGAGAAGGAAATGAGGAACTGACCTCACGAGTCTGACCTCACGATTCACGCAAGTTAACGATGATGCTAAAGAGGTTTTGAACATTTTTATCTTGAAATTCCAATCAGCCTGACCTATATTTATGTTTTCATTGGTGGTAACTAGTTGGCTGTATATCAGTTTAATCAGCCCAGCCCAGCCCAGTACGTAAGTCTGTTTTCCGGAACGGATGAGAACTGATGAATTTCTCACAGGACGCCGGACACTTGAAAACGGCGGTTTCGTAAGTTATCAAACGTGCGCATACAAAATACTCGTTAAGTGGTGTTATAATACCGAGTCATAGAAGTGATTATTTACAAAAGATAGTCGTGATATCAAAGGTCCTCAAAGAACACAAGTTGTGCAAAAGACTTGGGAAAACATCGGCAACAATCCAACAATTTGCATCAGTGCGAGTGTATCTTGAATACGTACAGTTCTGGATTAAATACCAAGTTGATGGTATAATTAATTACTTAGTTTGAACGCGTGGGTTCAGTATAGGCTGTAAAGTATAATATTTTTAAAATGCCTTCTGGGCGTACCGTATTGTTTGCTATGGCGGCATTTATATATGCATATTTGACAGAAATAACTGCTTTCAATTGGAAACACCGAAGAGGCTCCATCCTCTACTGTCTTGTTTGAAATCATTCTTTGTCGCTCCTAAAGTCGACCAAGCAACCTGCTTGAGCTCAGTTTCATATTTTAGAAGCTGGCAAAAACTATGAAAGTACTGAACCAGCCTCAGTACCCAGAACCATAAGACAGTAGTCAAAATATGGATACTTTTTTCAAACATGCTTGAATAAGCAGAAAAGCAACTGATACTCATGCATGAAGAAGAAAACGGTTATGCAAATTTCGAAGGCTTCTGCAATGGTCATGTTAGTGGTTGTGATAGTGGTAGTGGTAGCGAAAGAGGCCGGCAGTAGAAATAGACTCAGGCTTTAGCAGTGGTGAGGCATTGGTAATGATTTGGTAGTGGTAGTGGTAGACAATTGTGAGTGGAAGTGTCAGCACCGTTGGTAGTGGAAGTAGCATGAAAGTGGCAGTGGCATGCCAGGGTTTGCTTATTTAAACTGTTAAAATGGTTTATAACATTAGATTAGCTTGGCCACTACATCTTCCCAGTTCTTGCATTGTGCTCTTCAGCCGCAGTGGAACACATCTCCACCAGTTGCTGATTCTGGTGACGTTTGCCGTTCGCTGAAGCTGCCCCAATAATTTCTCCAACGACAACAATTTGCATAGTTTAGTTTAGACAGTTTACGCCAAGGGGAAGATTGCTTACTACGACCATTTCTTTCCTCGAAACCATGTAACACCTTCAATTTTTGAAATTCTTGCTCAGTTCGACAAATGACCTAACGTTTCCAATCCAAGTCCTTTTCTCTTGTATAAATCTAGAAGAACCGTTAGATTCCTTTCCATTTTAAACTCGGTCATCAGTTTGAGAAGATTCAACCGTTTTATTTGACGCACCTTGCTATGTCTTCCAACGAAATCATTCCAGCATGTTCAAATGGAGTTAAGTCAGTTAAAAAATTCCAGTGTCTTCCACGAGAATCAGACCAGATCTAGAGTAGTATAAACAAAGTCCTTGCTGCTGATCTCGGTCCAGATTTTGAGTAGTGTGAGCAGCATAATCTTGTGGAAGTGCATTGTTATTATATTATCCTCGTTTGACAGAGACAAGGCCACTAGAATGAATGCATGTACCTGAACTTTTATATTCAGGAACTGAAAAAAAAAAGGCCCTGATAGGGAATCAATATCTTATAGAAAAAGAAGGCCCATAGCCACTCAAGTCGAAACATAGGCCTGCAATGCGGGCAAAAATTATGCCATTTTGGTCCCCAGTGCTATTCGTTACAAAACGTCGTTGCGAGTTCGCAGACCACGTGACCAAAAGAAACAGAGGTTCTGGGGACGAGGATGGAGTTATTTTTGGACTATAGCGTCAAGGATGATCTTGCGCAGTTCTTGCAGCTTCCCCTGAATTTTCAATCGTGAGTTTGCTATCATGCAGCCATCTTTCGATTGAAAGGGATCATTTCTCCGTTTACATGTTGAAACTGCTGTTCATTTTTAAGGGTTTCGTAGTACGTTGTATTAGGTCATTAAGTAGGGATGAGCGAGAGGCTTTTAGGCACTGGTATGTAGGTATTATTCCTGAGTCGAAGTTAGATGTCAACTTAAGTAGTGATGGTGATATGTTTACTGCGCCTTTCAATAACATACGGACTCTTAAATTCAAAGCACAACCGACAAATGCATTTTTCGCTACCGTCAATCAAATGTTCGGCGGCTCCTCCCAGCTTCCCATTACTGCTGAGCGCGCGGTAATCATATCAAATCGTTGAGCGCAGTTCAGATAACACAGTCGGAAGCTGGGAGGAGCCGCCGAACATTTGATTGACGGTAGCGAAAAACGCATTCGTCGGTTGAGCTTTGAATTTTAGAGTCCGCAT